TGACTATATTCCCTCTGCTGTACTTTACATTCCTGTGACTATTTCTATAACTGGCAATTTATACTTTTTAATCCCTTTGCTTTTTTCACCCAAACCATCAGTTTGTTCTCTGTGTCTATGAGCTTGTTTCTGTTTTGTTTGTTTTTTAGATTTCACATAAAAGTGAAATCATACGGTATTTGTCTTTTTCCCTCCATGTTGTCACAAATGACAAGATTTCATTTTCATAGCTGAGAATAGTCCATTGTACACATGTGCCTCATCTTCTCTCTCCATTCTCTATCAGTGGACACTTAGGTTGCTTCCATATCTTGGCTTTTGTAAATACTGCTGCAGTGAACATAGGGGTGCATATCTTTTTGAATTAGTGTTTTGGGTTTCTTCAGAAAATACCCAGAAGTGGAATTTCTGTGTCATGTGGTAATTCTCTTTTTAATTTCGGGGGGGGGGCACCTCTATACTGTTTTCCACAGTGCCTGCACCATTTTACAGTTCCACCAACAGTGCGCAAGGGTTCCCTTTTCTCCACATCCTCTCCAGCACTTGTTTGTTCATCTATTGTCGATAGTCATTCTGACAGGTGCTTTCTCAGTGTGGTTTTAATTTGCATCTCTCTGATGCAATTAGTGACTGAGCGTCTTTTCATATGTCTATTGGCCATCTGTATGTCCTTGGGAGGAATGTCTGTTGAGGTTCTCTGCTCATTTTTTTAGTCAGATTGTTTTTTGGATTTTTTTTGCTGTTAAGTTGTATGAATTCCTTATATATTTTGGATATTAACCTTTGATCATATGTATCATTGGTGACTATCTTCTCCCATTCAGTAGGTTGTCTTTTTGTTTTGTTGATGGTTTCCTTTGCTGTGCAAAAGCTCTTTAACTTGATGTAGTCCCATTTGTTTGTTTTTTCTTGTTTCCCTTGCCCAAGGAGACGTATAAAAAAAAAATATTACTAATACGATGTCAAATTGTTTACTGCCTATTTTCTTCTAGGATTTTTGTGGTTTCAGGTCTTAGATTTAAGTCTTTAATCCATTTTGAGTTTATTTTATATGGTATAAGAAAGTGGTCCAGTTTCATACTTTTGCATGTGTCTCTTCAGTTTTCTTAACACCATTTATTGAAGAGACTGTCTTTACCCCATTGTATATATTCTTGCCTTCTTTGTCATAGGTTAAGTGACCATATAGTCTTGGGTTTCTTAGCTCTCTATTCTGTTCCATTGATCTGTGTGTCTGTTTTTATGACAGTACCATGCTGTTTTGATTACTATGGCCTTGTAATATAATTCGATATCAGGTAGCATGATACCTCCAACTTTATTTTTCTTTCTCAAGACTGCTTTGGCTATTCAGGGTCTTTTGTGGTTCCATATAAATCTTAGGATTATTTGTTCTAGTTCTGTGAAAAAGTCCATTAGTATTTTCATAGCGATTGCATTGAATCTATAGATTGCTTTGGATATTCATGGTGTTAATTCATCTGAGCCATCAGCGAGTCGTAATCTTTTTGCTGGTAGAGAGTCTTGCCTCAAAATTGATGAAAACACAGTGTCTGTGAAGTTCATTAGAGTGAAGCACAGTAAAACGTGGTATGCCTGGACAATAAATCTCCAAACATTTATTGCATGTTGATTACATGCCAGACACTGTACTAACCCCTAATGATATACGTCATTGACTTCAAAGAGCTTACATTCTAGAAGGGGAGGTAGACATACAAGTAAAATAAAAGCACAGCATGATTAAGCTGAGGGGGTAGGTATGAATTCCAGCTTCTTCGTGGATAGGGGAAGTCTGTGCAGAGGTCTCCTGGTGGCAGTGGTGTCCTAGTTGATGAATGGGAGTACACTGTGGAGGGGGAGCTGCTGAGGGGCAGCAAAGCCAACATGGTGGATTAGGGAAATTATTTCTGGCTTGGTGATCTTGGACTACAAGCAGTAAGGTCATTTGTGGCAGGAACTAAAGCTGAAGAAATAAACCAGTCTGGGCATGAAAGACTTTATATACCAGGCCGAGGAATTTGAGCTTTATCTTGGGACAGACTTAAATAGGAGGGTAGCATAGTTCGAATTACCTCTCCGAATTCTGATTTTAAATGGTGACTTTATCTCGTGTGTTTATCACTTGCTGTCCACCATGGCTTTGCTTTGAGACACCTCCATATCTCCCTAGATTATCCCAGTAGCTTCTTACCTGGTCTCCCTGTTTCTGCCCTTGATCACTTATTCATTGAAAAAAAATTTGAGTTCTTTAATATGTGCCAGGCATTGCTCCCAGTACTAGCAGTTCTGCAGTGAATAGAACAGATAAAAATCCCTGACCTCCTGGAGCTTTCGTGCTGTTCTCAAAACAGTAATCAGACTGATCTTTTTCAAATATAAGTCAGTCATGTCTCTCCTTTGATCAAAATCCTTAGATTCACCTGCCCATGCTAGTAGTCTCTACCTGTAACCGAAGATGAGGAAAAGTTGGGTTTATAATATTGACATACCTGTGTCTCTACTGAATGCTGTCATGCCACAGAGCATAGTTCAGTTTGAATGTGGGTTTTAAAGTGGGAGAAAGAGAGGTGGTGGAAGAATGGTTTCTAGCAGGTAGGACTCTAGAAGTGGAAAGCACTGCACTGAAGGACTCCAGAGGCATCTGTGTGATATAGTGATCATTCTGACAGTAGTTTCTTAACCACCTGCCTCTCTTCCTGCTCCTTCTACCTTATTTCACTGAATTCTTTGGGCAAATTGAGCTCTCAAAACACACTGAAGCAACCATTAAATGGATGTGAGTTTTTTTAACATACATGCAATAAAGTACATTTTAAGTGTACCACTTGATTAATTTTTGCTTGTATGTTCCCATGTAACTACTAATTCAGATCAAGATACATTTTCAGCTTTCCAGGGACTCTCTTCTTCCCTCTCTCAGTCCATATCATCTTCTAAATGTAACCAGTTTTCTAATTTCTGTCACCATAAAATTAGTTTTGCCTGTGTTTGAACTTTGTGTTGATGGAATCTTTTATATCTGGTTTCTTTCATGCAAAATAAGGTATGCAATTCATCCATATTGTTGCAGATAGCTTTTGTCTTTGCTGTATACTATTCCATTCTATGAAAACAGCACCATTTATTCTGTTGATAGATATTTGGGTTATTTCCTGTTTTGGATATTATGAATAACATGTCATTTGTTGGATGTAAGAATTCCTCTTTTTACAGAACTTTAGGAGATAGTGCAAACAATAAAGTGTCCATACCTCTCTGAGGGTTTTGAGATGTCTTCCTGTATTCAGTGGTCTGAGCTGCTGCCTGACCCGCCATTCTTCATGTCTTCCTCTTGCTCTACCTCAAGCCACAATGTTGAACAGAAGTAATGATTAGAATGCAAAGACAGGTGATATTGTACAAGATGAGCGTCAGCAATCCTTGGGTTAAAAGGGAAATTCGCCAGTGATCTCTTACCACAGGATATGGTTCTGTTACCTCCATCACATCAGTTTCAGTTCAATTTAGTACTTCAGAAATTTTTGAGGGGGGTAGGAAATCCTATTCCTAAATAGCAGATGTTTAAGCTAAAGAATTAGGCTCGACGTGAAAGAGCTAACAGTTGTTTGTTTTCATGCACAATACTTATCACTAGCAACAAAGTGATGAGCAAGATAGATAGAGCTTCCCGTGTACTGAGGCAGACCAGCGACTACGGTCCACTGTGGGGGCCAGGCATTGTAAGGAGAAACTCTGGTTTTCATTTACATTACACAAAGCTGTATGTCCTACAGTTTAACTCAGTTCTGACACTGTGTCCTAGGAGACAGTGTCAGATCCCACAGGTTAAGGACTCAGCTCCACGAGACGGTGCCCACCTCATTCCAGCTGCCAGTCTGGGTTGTTACCTGTGCTTTTAACCAGTGGGCTATAATATAAATTGTAGGTCCCACAATCCCCTCCTAAGGTTCAGTTAATTTGCTAGAGGCAGCAGCAGGAGGCAAAGACCTGGAACCAGAGAAAGAGCCAGACACACACAGGAACTTAGGGAAATTCACAGAGCCTGGAGCACAGTGTTCAAGGGGAGAGTAGTAGTAGCAAAAGATGGAGCTGGAAATATAATCGGATACTAGATCATGAAAAGCTTTAAAATAATTACAATAACAACCAATATTTCTGAGGAATTGGCCTTTTCCAGACTCTAGACTAATCACATTTCTTGGACTGCCTCATTTAATACTCAGGATCCTTAAAACACAGATGCACTGTTACAGGTGATAAAATTATAGGTCCAGGCCTATATAACTGATCGAAAGCCCATTCTCGGAACCACTCCTATAGATGCTAGTACAGAAGCCATGCTTGAACCTCCTGTGAGCTCAGCTTCTTACATGTGATTGTATTTTGGATTGACTTAAATCAGCTAATGTTCCTTAAATGTATGCAAACATAAAACTGGTATAAACTCTGGGTGCTTATACTGATCATGTATCAAAATAAATCCACCAATTAATACAAACAAAACTATAAACTAATAAAGTTTAGTAGCATTGACTCAGTGTGACTGGTGGTATTTTGCTGATATTGTCGCTCTCAAGGAGTGAGTAGGGCCTACAAGTAAAGCACAGCAAACCTTTGCTCCTGGTGGTCTGTGGAGACCCCATTTTCCCGAACCTCTTGTGTCTCTCAGGCTTCTTGGAAAGCACAATGCTGCTGGGCTTCATTTGGAGGGAAGACATCTCACACTCAGTCCAGCTGAAGTAGTGCTGCCAACAGGACTGTACATATGCAGGCCCTGAAACACAGTTTTTGTATTTTAATGCATATGGAATTCAAAATAATAGAAATGGTCCAAACTTATTAAATTGAGACTCAATCTGGAACATGGTGTGGTCTGTGAATGAGATGGAGAGGGGAGGAGAGTGGCTACGAGGGGAGCGTTTGCTGGCCTTTGAGGGTTGCTGTGGTTGTGCATAGTAGAGATCCCTTCTTACTTTTGTGGTTTTGCTTCTTCACAGGGGTTGGCACCAGGAATTATTACAGAAAGATTGGCTACAGATTACAAGGCCCATACATGGTGAAGACGCTAAAGTAATAGCCACACCAGTCCACCTTGATGCACCGTTTCTGGCAGAAAGTGGAGATTCCAGATGTCTTGAATACTCAGCAGAGAGGCTAAGCAAACAGATGGACCTACCCTGTCCCCTTGGCAAGAAGCTTCACTCTCATCCTGCCGCTGCGGAGACTGGAAACTGCTTTCAGGGTGGGACCAGGTGTCTGGTGACCAAACACGAAGCCTCTGGTGCTCAGCGCTCCTGTGCCCTCCTGTCCTGCGTGTTCCCAAGAAGTCACTTCAGTTTTCAAGGCTTAAGTCATGTGTCCAGTTTCTAAATTCTGCATGAGGCCAGCAAGTGACTTACTCAGACACACTGGCCAGCAAATGAATCAACTCATTTGGATACCGTAATTCATGAAATAAAGCTAGGTGGTGTTATTTCAGGAGTAAAGTTAGGAGTAACTTATTTATAAGGTAGATTTAGGGACAAAAAGTCAGGTTGAACATAAGAAAACTGACAGATTTGAACTCTGGACTTGAACTGCATAAGCATTCCAGCCCAAGAAAATGAGCTTTTGTTTTATTGCAAATCATTCTGGTGTCTGTGCTCATGTTTGCAGTAACAGTGTGATGGAGAGGAATTGACATGCGTTTATGTTTTAAGCCTGAAACCAGCCTTTTTCATTTGCAAGTCCACCATCTACAATGGGCCATTCTGAACCGCCTCAATTTCACATTTTTTGTCTGTACTTCCTACTCTCTTAACAGCTGCAGAACAGTGTGGGCAGCACTTACTATGCCCAGAGAGATGTTTGGCTTCCCCTTCTGTCTGTCCTGAGCAGGCGGAGTCTGACATACTTGTGTGTTAGGTGGTGTGGCCCTAAATCAAGACTTCCTCCCACAGGAGCTGTTCCCTGCATTTTAATTCTTTAACATAAATTTTGTTTTAAATGGAGAAAAGTAAGAGTTTAACTCACATGAAAGGAAAAAAAAAAGCAAAACAGGCCCAAATCTAAAAATAGGAAAAAGATTGGCTTTTCAGAGCATCGTCTTATAGAACTGTCTCTGTGTAAGTTGCAGGTAACCTGAGGAGACTCAGCCTGGAGAGGATGAGTTCTTAAGAGCATGGCTTACTAGCACTGTGCCCCTCAGCTTCTGTGGCGTTTACAAAGGTTTACTAAATGGAATTGATTCTTCTAAAAGGTACAAAAAATAAAACCTTCAACAAACTAAGAAGAACTTGTAAGAGGTTTTCCTCTCCCTGTAAATGCAGTGACATCTGCCGTGAATTTACAGGATTGAGTTTTCAGCCTGTGACACTGTTCACTTCCTCCTGGGTGCTGTCTGCCATTTCATTAAACTGCCACGAGGCAAATGGCATCGCCTTTCTCGTGGGCTCTGTAGAACTACGAAGGCTCTTCATGAGTGTAATTTAGGGAATTTATCTGCTTCTCAATTATGCCTGTTTTCCCTTTAAAAATAAAACTGTTAAACTAATAAAGCATATACCGTAATGGCTGTTTGCACACATCACTGAAGCCAGAACGGACGGCATGCTGGCCCAGGCTTTCCTCCACCTGCAGTGACCTTGACTTACTGCACAGGGCTCTCTGGGCCTCCAAGTTCTCATCTGCCCTGTTTACGTAAATGTATCAAAGTCTGTAAGGTGCAGGCAAGTACTTTATGTAAAAAGGCATTCACACTTAAGGCTCATTTTTAAATGACAATTTAGAGCAAGATTTTAAAACAAAATTGCCTAGGAACTTGCCCGTTTCTAATGGGTAACAGTCATTGTTTCATCTGGATTTTCATCTCGGGGCTCAGGAGTACCTACCTAGCGCGTCCTCAGTCTTGCTTGGAGTGAGACTCCTAGCCTTATGCAGAGATGCAGAACTTCTAAAGCTTCACCGGGTGCAGTCCCTGCAGCGTTCTGTCTCTAGAACCAGCTTCTCTGCTGACTGCCCAGGACCTTTCCTGGCACTCGTGGTACTTGGCACTTCTGCGGCTTGGCCAGCCTGGCCCTCCCAGAGATGCGTGCTCCTCAGTAGAACAGGCCGCCTCGTAAGAAAGATCCGTTAGGCACGACTCCGCCGCCTCTGCACGAAACCTTGAGAGCTACAGCTTGCGTTTTCTGATCTGCATTGAGCAACTGAGCAACCACCTCAAATCCAAATAGCTCTGCTCAGTTCAGCTTCTTGTGAAATCACCTGGAGAGTTTAAAAATATATATATATATATATATATATGTGTGTGTGTGTGTGTGTGTATCTCAAAATCAGACTGAAATCTATTTGAATAGAAAATGAGATTTTAAAAAAATACATTATCGCCCAGTGAAAGGATGAAAAGCTCCGTTTCTCAATGTGGAAATGAATGAACTCCTTTTAAAGGAAAAAGTTTCCACTGACCCAGGAGAATACAGAGATGCACAACTTTAAATCCGAAGCCCATTCACGGAAAACATCTTTCAGATAATAAATTTTCATTTCCAAAGCTGGTCTTTTTAAGATTATCATTTAATTGAAAACAAACATTTGTTCACAGAGAACTCACAGACCCCAGAGATTACGAAAGACCTCACCAGCTAGGTTCTGAAAACCTGGGCTCCTCCATTAACTCAAGCTTTGTGGGCAGGTCCCCTTACCTGGAGCTGGAACTTCCCATTTGTCACGTGAGACACACGCCCATCTCTCAGGGTAAGGGCGGTCACATAAATCTAGGGTTGCGAATTGACAAAACCATACTTTGAAGGACAAGAGACTAGCTGAGACTTTGCAACAGCAAAAAGCATTTTTAAATATCCCTCTAATTCTGGGGGCTTCCCAGCAAGGTGTCCAGTGATCACTGTGTGCACTAAGCAGCTGTGTCCCCTTAGGGAGTCCCGGGGGGTGGGGAGAGGGGTGGCGCCGCATTTCCGTATGCTAGAGTTGTGTATGCCAACAGTACATTGGTGTGTCAGTCTGTGAAGGGAGTTCCAAAAACTAAGTTTACCGGCTCTTTAAAGAAACTGGTTTTAACAGACAATCAAATACATGCCTATAAAAGTAGCAAACCAGCTGCTGCTCTGCATCCAGATGTGCAGCATTATCTCCTACCTCTGTCTTCACACACTTCGAATACCCTTGTGCACCTGGAGAGCCCCCCCTCCTCCAGGGAAGAAACTGCCATCTACCAAGCCCCCCCGCGTGCTGTACCCTGCACAGAACCCTTGCATCCTTCACCCAGGTGATCCTCACTGCAGCCCCCAATTAACCACTGAGGACACGGGCCTAAAATCAGGGCCACCACGTTGCCCGTTCCAGGCAGTGCCAGTCCTAAAATGCCTGTGGCTCACACACTATAATACGCAACATGTCCCTGGAGCGGCCCAGCCGGCAGCCCTGATCTCAGCCGCTAAGTGGGTTTAGGAGTCGAACCTGAGCCAGTGACTTTCGCTCCACTCTATCTCACATTTCCCTTCTTAGGGAGAAGAAAGTTTCACTTACGTTCAAAGAGGACCCTAACAGCTATTGAGCAGCACGTCTGTGCTTTCACGTCATTTCATCCTTGCAACAACCAGCCTGTGAGGAAAGTCCTATCTCAGTTTTTACAGTTGCAGGTAGTGGACGGGAATGGTTTCATCAGGAGAGCATGCAAAGCAAACAGCCTGCTCGTTTCTAAAAAGTGAAAATAGCTTTTCTAAAAATTATACATGCTCATTATGGAAATAAATTTGAAATAAAACAAAAAAGCACAAGATAATCTGAATGAATGCTTTTATATAAAAATTCACACCATCACAGGCAACTGTGCTAAGCCCTGCGGTCAGTGTCCTTCCATCCATCTCCCCCCAGATACACGTGCGATCAGTTTTGCATAAAACGGCTACACCGTGTTGCTTTGCAACCTTGACAAAATGTCATGGGAACATCTCATGTCAATGCACACGGCTCTTGCATCATCCTTTTTAATGACTAATGTTCCACTGTCTGTAGGTACCACTATTTAAGCAGGTCTTTCATATCTTACATTCTTTTATATTATTGTCACAACAGCTAGACTCATGGATTAAGCATGAGGGCTGCACACGTTATTGACTCAATACTAAGGTTTGCTTTAAGTTTTTATCTAAAAGCATTCACTCACCCATGGCAGGCTTCCTCGGTGGCCCTCCCTGTCGTTCTACCCCCAAGTCTTTCAGCCCTCCCTTCGTTTCAGTCCTTCAGGAGGTGGGGGAGGAGCACACCTGTCTGGCGGCTTGGCCTTTTCCATTAAGAAAGCGGCAGCACATTTGATCGTGAACAAGTCCCATCAAACAAAATGTCAAGCTGCCGGTTCACTGAAAGGTACTGGAGCGTAAACATGCTTCTATTGAGGTTAGAGGTGACCGCACCTTACATTTTCTCCCCTGATAGAAGTTACTGTTTCAAGACAGATTCCCTTGCCAGCTAAAGCCTGCAGAGAAGGTTATTTTCTTGCCACAGGACTGATCTTGTCTGGAAGGTGACAGTAGCTACTGTCCCAACCAGGGCATGTGGGGAAGGGCTCAGCACTTGGGCCCCTCAAGGGAAAGCAGGCCCAGTGGTCAGCCAGCTGCCTGGGTTGGAGGCTTCTGCCTCTGTGTAGCTTTGCAAGAACTAGGGTCTTGGACTATGGTGTGTTTGGGGTGTTGGGGCAGCAGGTAAAGGATCGTTTACATCTACCTGAAGAAAAGGAAAGGAAGGAAACCGGGGAAAGAGGAAGAAAAGGAAATAACATCTTTGAACAGAGAGGCCTGGTGTTGACCTCACAGTTATCCTCTGAGGCTGGAGTTACAGTCTCCATTTTACAAATGAGAAACCAGGGTTCAAAACCGGTAAGTAAATTAACCAAGGCCACAGCCAGTGAGTGAAGAGCTGAATATAACGGCAACAAACTGACATTCGCAAACTCATAAAGCTTCAAGGATTCTAATACCTACGGGCAATGGGGGCTCTAGAATTTCTAAAACAAAGGGTTTCAGGATAGCAATTGGATTGGGAAAGGTGTGGGGTTTTTTGAAGCTATATTTGCCTAATAGATACTGTTTGCCCTCCACCCCACCTTCCTGAAGCCACTTCTTGGCACAACTGCCAATTAGCTCTTCCTTGAAAAAATACAGCCAAGAGATACATCTAAATAAAGGACTAAGAATAGGGGCAATGTGGAAAGAAAACCAGCAGTAAGTAACCAATCTAGTTAAAGAGAGAACTGAAACTAAGTTGCTGTTACAGAAAAGAATGAAAGCTGGGTTGAAGTAAGGATTGAATACTCATCTAGTTTTGCTCCCACCCAAAGCTCACACATACACACAAAGGGGATTTTTAAAAAACAAAACAAACACCACATGCCCAGCCAGGCGTGGCTCAGTGGTTGAGCAATGACCTAGGATCCAAGACATAGAGGTTCGATTCCCAGTCAGGGCACATGCCCAGGTTTCGGGCTCAATCCCCAGCAGGGGGCGTGCAGGAGGCAGCCGATCAATGACTCTCATCATTGATGTTTCTGTCTCTCCCTCTCCCTTCCTCTCTTTGAAATCAATAAAGATATATTTTTTAAAACACAAAAAAACAAGCACCATAAATCCACAAGAACAGGAAGAAAAGACAAAAAGACAAAAGCGGTAAGATTTTGGAAGCAGTACAGCAGATGGACAGTAGCAACTCAGCAGTTACCAGGCAGTGGGGAAAGTTGGAGCCAATACAATTTATATCACAGAAACGTCCAAAGCCCCTGGGACTGACATCACACACTGGAGAGCAAGGGAAGACAAGACGCCCAAACGAGGAGGACTGATGAAAGCTGACAGCACCTAGGTCCCCATTCCCGTTTCCTCCACGAAGCGATGCTCTCTTCCCGCCTCAGCCGTAGTCGGGAGGTTGATTCTCTGAAGTGGTCACACAGGACCTTTGGAAAGAGAACTCTAGACATAGCTGAAGGTCAGGGTAATGGAACAGAACGCCTGAGCCCACGTGTACCAAATAGTACTGGCACTTCAGTCGTCTTCCCCAAGTCGTTTTCAGAAAGCTGGCGGCTAGACCTTTTCCCTACAAGCCAGAAACTGAAAGGCTCTTCTGGACAATCTAGCCAGCGCTAGAGAAAAGACCCCTAAGTACAGTCATATGTAAGTTTCTCAAGAAACAATCCGGATGGCCACTACACAGCAAAATCCGTAAGCTCCCTTGTTAGGGACTGAATGTGTCCCCCCAAAGTTCATATATTGAAGCCCACCCCTCAGTGTGACTGTATTTGGAGATAGGGCCTTCTTGAAGGTAAAGTTAAGTGGGGTCGTAAGGGTGGAGCCTTGATCCAATAACATTAGTGCCCTCATAAGGAGAGACGACAGAGGAAAGTGGTGTCACAAGATGGTGACATTAGTCCCTTTTGACTATGCTCCCCCTACAAGAAGAACAAACAACTCTTCTTGTCAAACATGGACAAGACACCACTGAGAGAATTCTAGATACAGGGGTGGGGCTAAAGCAACCCCTGCACCACAGAGACCAAAACATTACAT